TTTAGTGTTGGGAAAATTCCGACAGCAGACTTCTTAAATTGTCTGAACTTAAAATTTACTTTGTCTTTTGTGCTGCAAGCAGTACACAGACAGACGGCAGTCTATAGTACTAATGAGCAGCATAAATATTCTTAGACATCCAACAGGGCATTGTAAGCAAATAATGGTTCATGCAGAATATATTTTGCATCCCAGCTTTAATGGTCTTCTTGAATCTACTTTACTCCTTACAAGTGCGTACGTTCTGTATTGTTTCCCAAATACATCAGAGCCCGAATATAGCCTGAATGTTCTATGCTGGCATTTTGCAGCTTTGCATAAGAGATTTGTTGGTACCGTAGAGGTGGTCAAAATAATAGATTATGTGTGCATCAGATACATTTAACAGAGAGTAAGCAAGATGCCTGCCTCCCATCCCCAGGTGCCTAAAGCTGTAGTCAAGCCAATCCCTTTAAAGCATTAAATTAAAATCATCCATCCATCCATCCATCCATCCATCCATCCATCCAGCTCGGGACCCCCTGCCACCCGTTAAAATTCAATTTCTTAAAACCAACATTAATTTCTTAATGAAATAGAAAATAAATGAGTCGCACGGAACAGCCTGAAACACATTCATGTGGAAATATGATTTTTGGTACCTAAAGATTTTGCAAGTACTCCCTATGTTTTGCAGTGACAACTGGAGCACAGCTGAACATCAAAGACCATCAGAGCTGAAGAAGGAGAAGCCTTAGTGTTCAGAATAATATGGACCAGAATAGTTTCTTAGGGAATCCAAGCCTGAAGATCAAATTAGAAATAATGACATACATTTGTGTGGCTCATGTTTAAGCTGCAGGGGTCGTGGTGACTCAGCATTGTTGACAAGGGGGGGGTTTATGGTTTTTGGAGACCCACTCAAAAAGTCACCCCCCCCCTAGATGTTTTAAAAACTAAGTAGACAGCTATCAAGTAGAGTCAGGAGATAGTTGGTCAGCCTCTTCTAAATAAAGAATCCATTTTTAAAAACGTAATGTAGTGACTGTTTGTGGTCACCAGGGGGCATCACACAGATGCATGGTTTGAATCCCACCCCGACTTTGTTAGTGTGGAGTTTGCATGTTCATCCTTGTATCATGTGGGTTTCTTCTGGGTACTCTGGCTTCCCACAGCTCGAAAAACAAGATGTGGGTTAAATTGGTTTCTCTATTTTTCCCGCGGTGTGCGGATGGATTTTTAAGCGGTAACCTTTGATGCATTAACATACACTCAGGGACTGCTGGCTAGGAACTAAAATATCTCTCGATTTTGTTCTCCTCCAGCCTGGAGCTGGAAAGACTGGTATCAGTGCTTCAATCGATTTAAACGAATGCAGGCATTTCTCTGGACAATTAATCAGGACGTGGCAGCAGTATTGCCTTGGCCTGACTCCTGTGCAGATCAAGCGTGCAGTGAATGGCATTTAACATAACAGTAAAACAACACTCTGAACTCCGATGGCAAGTGCTAGAGGCGTAGCAGGGCAGTAAGTGTGCAGTTTCACTGGGGATCACACTCGCACTCAGCGGAATAATCGATGTGCGTTGTGAAGAAGGTTCTCTGTGGTATGTTCACTGCCTCCACGATATTCCCCGCTGACAAATGCTTCACTTCTCCAGTCCTAGGGGTGCATCCATTTTATTGTATTTGGACCCCAAATCCCTCATCCTCCCACCTAAACTTCCAGTGCCGACTGAGCAGCCGCACTGAGATGTAAGTCTATAGAAGTCGCTAATTGACTCACTGCTCAGTGTCATCCGTGCGTGACACCATCAGCATCACGAGAACTTTCCATAAATGCTATTTCAGGGAAAGGAATGCAGGTACTGAACACTACTAACCCTTATGTATGGGCGTGACTTTTATATGAGAAGTGAGCAGAGTGGACATTTCATGTCCAGAAAGTAAAAATCCAGGCCAAGATTTTGTTTCAACCAACCAGCTGGGTACTGTGTAACTGTGACTCTTTATAGTCAACTGGTTGGTTGAAACAAAATCTTGGTCTGGATTTTTACATTCTGGACCTGAAATAGCCACTTCAGGAAGCGTGTGGTTCAGCAGGATTGGCCAATGTGCCTGAGCCTGTCGGATGGTTATTGGTTTGAATCCTTTGAGCATAGTAGTTCCATCCATCGGACCCATAAACATGGACCTTAATTCTCTCCTGAAAAACAAAATGCTGCAGGGGTGCAGTGGGAATGGTTGTGTCATGTTCTGCTCATGCGATCCTCATGTGTGCCACACCCCCTCATTAACCTCGTGTGAATTCCTGATTGTTACCAGCTGTCTCCTGTTATTTCAATATGTCCTGTGTATTTTTGTCCGCGTTAGAGTACGTTTCCCTAGGTCTGTCATTGAAGTTGATTGTAGTCTGATTGTGTAGTACTGCCTGTTCCATGTCCCTGCTCCGTTTATCCAATAAATCCTGTATTCCCTAGTCCTACGTGTCCCTTTCCTGCTTCCCCATTCCGTGCATCGCGCCTGTTCATGACAGGTTGACTGACTTTCACCTCTAAACCTTAGGAAAAGGAGATCAGGTTAGCATCTGATGGATGCTGATGTACAAATGGAAAATAAAGTTTCATTGGAAGCAGTAGTTTTTCATTTAAACTAACTGCTCATTCCAAATAAAAGTCACACAGAATATTAACATTTTCGCTGTTTTTTTTTTTTTGTACTGAGGCACGTGGAATGACCTGCAATTAAAAGATCCCCCAGCGTATCAGCAGATCTGCACTGCGTCGTTAAATCAAATTTTGCACACAAGCAAAACAAACAAGCAGTTAACAGCACTAAGCTGACCTTATTTTCATCAGTTCCGAGGTTGTTCCCGGTGTTAAATTGCAGGCTGCGTCCATTTTCAGCTCCGTATGCAGAGTAGCTTTTATCTGGGGCAATTAGGCTCATCAACAAATGTTAATTATGCACTAAATGCTAACATTTTGACACTTTATTCAAAGAATCCTCCTCCAATGTGTCCTTTGTACATGTAAATGCTGTGTTTGTCTGTATTTATTGTGATTTCCTGTTTGCTGTTGTACTTACTGACTTGCATTTATTTACTGTACAGCCTTGGGGACGTAAACAAGCGAGAGCATCATTGTACTCTGGGCACACACCGTTTTGCTGTCACCACCGTTGTATACAAGATCTCTGCAGGTTTTGCCAAATGCAAGTTTCCTGTACGTTGTCTTAAAATAACCATGACAAATCCATCCCCTTGTCCCTCATTCCTCCAGCGGTCTGTGTTCAGCTGGCTATTTGATGCTGAGGATTACAATGGGGGTAAATAGATGACAGTAGCAGGAGCCTTCATTGGAAAGGTCAGCGTGTACGGGCCAGACACACAGGTATAACGGCCCGGCGTACTGGATCACGGCCCGTAAGCTCAGCGCATCCGCTCTCTACTGCCGCCCGAGCCATCGGCAGTCTGCCACCAATCAGGAGACTGGCATCCCAGTGTGAGGTCATGTCCCAAAACCTCCTGCAAAAGGTAGAGGTGATTGGGTAGAAAGTACCAGGCAGACACACACATGCCCCCCCATCATCACGGCTGAAATCAAACTGCAAATGCTCCTCTCGGACGTGACAGGCCTTAGCCACATTCAAAAACTTGAGCAGATTGAAAGCGTGCTAGCCCCCCCCCCCCACCCTGATATGAGAGGACTTTGAAAGCCAGTTTCTTTTTTTTTGTGACTCCCCAACGCTATTCTCCCATTTCATCTTGTCCCAGTTGCTTTTGTCACCTGCCTCAACTTGGCCAGGCGTAAGCAGAAAACCCCCTTCCTTTACTCCTTTCCAACCAGCTCCCCCCCGGATGCCAGCTGTTAACCCCTACTGGTCAGCTGACATGGCAGTCTATTGGTCACAACAATGGCCGGGCCTCTCGTGTCGACGCCGCCTTATTCGTTAGCGCTAACTGCCTTTGTTGGCGAGCCTTTATCCAATGGAGCAAGGTTACTGCGAAGAAAATAGCTTTTGAACTGACGCCAGGCTAGGGACCTCGTTTAGCCCATCCCGGCCCCCGGCAGCCTAACGCCAGAGATCCTGTGGCCCACAGACCTGCTAAGTCTTTTTTCAAGCCCTCAAAAATCTAAAATGATGTTTTTTTTAGAAGAACAAGTGGTCAGCACTCTCTGAAAATTAATGATTAGAAAAAGTACAGTTTTTTGTAGTGAAACGGAGTGGTGGATCACAGGCAGTATAGCAATTCCCAGCATCCTTCTGCTAGACACGAAAAGAGTTTATTTCCAATTTGTACAACCTTGTTAGGCTAATCTGATTAAAAATTAAAGAGAGATTAGATGTCTTCCTTTAGTGTGCAACCGAAACGCTTGGATGATCTGGATGTGATATTTGACTAATTTGGCGGCCGGGGCAATGTAAACGAGGCTCGTCTGGAGGCCTCGCGGACGTTGACGTGTCTTGCCGTGCCCCTGCCACTTGTGAAGCCTTTTGATCTTCAAGGGGCCCCCTGCTGGCTGCTGATGACCCCAAAGGGCCCGATCGGGTTCCTTTGTCATTCTGGCCATTGTGAGGCCCTCAAGCTACAATGGGCCAGGGGCCGAGTGCTCCTCACAGCTGGTCAGCAGCGAAAGTGGAGCGTCACGAGGGACGCGACGCCCCCTGGCCCATGAATCTTAGCCCAAACGGCCGCTAAACGGGGGAATAAGTGGCCCTGGGATAGATGTCCGCGGGGGGGGGGGCCCAACAAAAGCCTTTTCAACTCCTCAGCTCGTTTCCAGGACGATGCTGACAGGAAGCCATACGTGACGATTTACCGTGGGGATAGCGGAGAGCCGGCTGTGAGCGTGGGGGAGACTGACGCGTATGGGGAGCAGAAAGACGAGGAAGCCGTGTATGACGATAGAACTTTAATAAAAAAAATGATATAGCTGTACAAAAACATGGCAGGACATTCTCTACGTCTCTCTGCTGGCCACAGCTCACAAGACAGTTCGATAGCAGCTGTCCTCACGATCACTCGGCAAGAATAAATTCAGAACATCAAGTAAGAACTTCAGTGCACTGTATAATATAATATACATACAAAAAATAGCGGGCTAGAGTCTGATAAAGAAAATACACAAGTGCATTTAGCTAAACATTTTTCTGTAAAAGTAGCATTGGCTTGAACAAAAACTAAAATGCAGTTTACAGCAAGGCACCCATTTTCCAGAAAGATTTACAGGTCCGTGTTTGAGTTCTTTCAGGGATTGAACTCGTGTCCATTTTGCGGCCTGCTCTGCGATGGCCAGACCTGGGACTCGCCTGCTCACTTACCTATAGATAGGCTGGGCAGGCTGTGTATGGAAGTCGAGGGGGGCTGGCAGAGGGAGCACGGGCAAGGGATGCTGGGGAAGTGCCTGAAGGAGCCAGAGACGTGGCTCATGTCCTTCAGGGGGTTCTGATGAGGAAGGCGGAAGCCTGGGAAGCTGGCGGCGGCGGGCGGCGAGTGGACGGAAGGTGGCGATGAAGCCGAGGAGGGTGGCTGGAGCAGGGGTGGCGTGCCCGGCAGCGATGGCAAGGACTGGGCCAGCGGGAAGAGCGGCAGCGACGGAGGGGCGGCGGGCCCGCAGCGGGCCGTGTGAGCCGGACGGCCGGCCCCATACACGTCCCCCACCAGCTTCCGCATCTCCTCCAGTGAGCTGGACAGCATGAGGATGTAGTTGCGCGCCAGCAACAGGGTGGAGATCTTAGAGAGCTTCCGGACGGAGGGGCCCTGGGCGTAGGGCATGACCTCCCGCAGACCGTCCATGGCCTGGTTCAGGTCGTGCATCCGCTTCCTCTCCCGGCTGTTCACCTTCAGCCGCAGGTCCTGCGGGTCCTCTGGATTCTCCTTGGTGGACCGGGCCTGGCCTCTGGACTTCCCTCTGCTCGGAATCAGGGATCCGCTCTGGGCTCCTGGATCCCTGCAGTACGCCTGCAGCACCTTGGCGGACAAGACACCTCCACCCTTCTCCATCGGGTCTGGAGAAGAGGAGCGGCTGGAGATGGAGCCGGCGTCAGAGTCCATCTCGGCGACAGTCAGAGGCTGCGTGTTCGTTCCTCGAACCTTTCGACGGGCCTTGCTGGGAGACAGACGTGGAGCGGGGAATGACCTTCTTAAAGCTTGAAAATGGACCCTGGAAACCAGCAGTATTTTTGTGTGCGTGGACATCAGAAGGTGGTGTTGAATGAGTCTTTTGGTCGTGGCCTCATTTATATCCCACCCAACACCACAAAGGAACAATGGGCTGCATAATCATGCAGCTCGGACCACAGCCAATCAGAGAAGGGGATCCTGCACCAGGCTCCATTTAACATGACCCAATACCTAATCCTCCCCTAGATGGTTAAAGTTCCACATTTACACATATATACAAAGAGGGGCAGCTTGGAGGCAGCCTGTAGCTCTAATTATAGAATTTTCCTGACTCCCGCCTATTGTGGTGGGGGGGGGGGGGGGTTGATCTGAAACTTTTGCTAGCAATAAAACACTTTGAATCACTTAACAAGGGGACATTAGCGTTTAATGTTACTGTTAGGGACAATGCACCAGTTAGACCAGGGCTCACACTGGGCCATCGTTCACAGTGACGGAGTCACATCAAATGAGGTTTAAAGATTATTTAAGGTGCGAAAAAGGACAAACTAGTCACATGGCTATTTCCAATTAAAAAAAGATCAGGCAATAGCATAGAGGTTTAATCAATATTAAGACTATTAATCAAGGTTACAGTATGACACAAAAACTAAAAATGTATATGTTCAAAAGATGTTACAAATATTAGATAGATAGATAGATAGATAGATAGATAGATAGATAGATAGATAGATAGATAGATAGGCTGGCGTGCAGGTGCTTGTCTCATGTGTGAAATTAACCTTGCAGAACTTAGCAGAACAAGGTTCCTGACGAAGAGAACAGCGTCAATAAGGCCACCGCTGGCACAATGTGGACGTTCGGAAGTGTCTCGGTGTAAATGGAAATGTTTCGGCTTGATATCGGTGAATGTCTTCAGCAAAAACAAATTTACGATTGATTGCGCATTTTGTGTGGTTAGAAAATTATGGGATTGATTGAATCACATTGAGAAAAGCAAACACTGTTTGACTGTGCAGAGTCTCAACTGACACACAACTGCTAATAATTTTTTTTTCTATTCCAGGTGGCAAAACTGCCTTGTTGACATTTGAAGGGATTTTTTTTTTTTTTGGGGAGGTGTGGCGGGAGGTCGGTTAAAAGGGTACTTAGCAGGGTCCTGAGAGTTAACCGACACTTCATCACACGTCTCTTTCATCGTTTCGTAAAGTTTAATCCAGTTAACTAACTAAGCTGTAGTTACCGTCACCGCTTAACTGCGTAAGTAGCGTAGTGTTGCGGACTCATTAACATCAGTATAATAAAGCTCAGAAGTATCCATTGACACTGTGGGGCGGGG